ATTTATCCAGTCTAAATATATAAATATAAAATATATAAATATAAAATATATAAATATAAAATATATATAAATATAAAAAATATATATAAATATAAAATATATATAAATATAAAAAATATATATAAATATAAAATATATAAATATAAAATATATTTATATTTTGATATATTTATATATTTATATATTTATACATTTATATATTTGTATTTATATATTTATATTTATATATTTATGTATTTATATATTTATGTATTTATATATTTATATATTTATCTATTTATATATTTATGTATTTATGTATTCATATATTTATGTATTTATATATTTATGTATTTATGTATTTATGTATTTATATATTTATGTATTTATATATTTATGTATTTATATATTTATATATTTATATATTTATATATTTAAATATTTAAATATTTAAATATTTAAATATTTAAATATTTATATATTTATGTATTTATGTATTTATGTATTTATGTATTTATGTATTTATATATTTATATATAAATATATTTATATATAAATATATTTATATATAAATATATTTGTATATTTATATATTTGTATATTTATATATTTGTATATTTATATATTTATATATTTGTATATTTATATATTTGTATATTTATATATTTGTATATTTATATATTTATATATTTATATATTTATATATTTATATATTTATATATTTATATATTTATATATTTTATATTTATATATTTTATATTTATATATTTATATATTTATATATTTATATATTTATATATTTACACGAATTAATATAAGTATAATTTAGTTGTAAATTATTATTAGAATATCATAATAGTTTAGTGGTTGAAGTATCGATTTTCAACTTTAAGGTATCTGGATTTGATTCTTGCTAGTGACAATTCTTTTAGTTTAATATAATTTACCTACGGATAGTAATTCCGTAGGTAATTACCTACGGAATTACCCACGGATGATATTACCTACGGATAATATCCGTAGGTAATGGATAATTACTCACGGATAGAATTCCGTAGGTAATATCCGTAGGTAATGTACACTTTACCTACGGATAGTAATTACGTAGGTAATTACCTACGGAATTATCCACGGATTACATTACCTACGGATAAAATCCGTAGGTAATGGATAATTACCTACGGATAGAATTCCGTAGGTAATATCCGTAGGTAATGTACAATTTACCTACGGATTTTCATCCGTGGGTAATATCCGTAGGTAATGTAAAATTTACCTACGGATTTTTATCCGTGGGTAATATCCGTAGGTAATGTAAAATTTACCTACGGATTTGTATCCGTAGATAATATTCCGTAGGTAATAGGGTTTTTTTTTGTAGTGTCTGCACTCCTACAAAAGATTCAATATTATCACTAATCTCCTTATAGATGATATAACTTCCATCCATATAATCATATTCATGTAACTCTTCTTGGCTTAAATTCAGAGATTCTAAGGGTTAATCAAGGTCAAAATCAACTCCTAGATCCAACTCTTCATCCTCTCGACCTTTAACTGAGCAGACGTTCGTTAAGAATAACTCTCTCTCACTGAGCAAAGATATGTCAAGGTTCTTTTGCTTTATTTGAACTTCTCGACCACTTCTCAAAGAACGTACATTCTCATTAGGATTAATCATTATTTGCAAGGGAACTACATTTGTACCTTGTTGCTGTAGTGAATTCATGGTAGTGGTCAATTGTCCAATTTTGGTTTTCATTTCATTGAAAGTGGTCATCATGAGTCGCTCTAGTTTCGTGCTCCGTGTGTTCTGCATTATCATTTGTTGTGAGTTGCTTCATCAAATCTTCTAGGGTAGGCCCAGAGTTATCCTATTACATAGTACCTCTTGGGCTTTGTTGTATTGGCACAAGGTGTGGGTTCACCTGTTGTCTCAGTGGGGGAGGTTTATACACTTGTTGTTGATAAATGCCTTGGTTGCTTGACTGGAAAGGAATCTTTGGTGGCTGGTTGAAGACAAGATCATATTTCAAGTTTGGATGGTCTCTCCAACCAAAATTATATGTGGCCAAGTACGGGTTGTACTCCTATTATGGAATGTATGAATTTAACTGCTCATAATATTGTTGTTCAGGGAACATACCACCCATTGTTTCCCTAATTAAGCTTGTTGTCCCCTGAAGTTGAGGGCATACATCAGTAGGATGATCTACGGAGGTGCATATCCCACATACATATTGTTGCTATTGAAATGTGTAATGGTTTATGGTTAATTGTCGTACCAAAGATGTTAGCTCGTCCAATGTTCTTTCAAAGTTCATATCCTCAAAATCACTTGTTTACTGGAATGACAACGGTAGACCGTGAACATATACACTAGGTAGGTTCCCAGGAAAGAGAGGTGAGTTACTAATGGACACGCTTAAGTACCAAGTTTTTCCTAGCCAAAGCCCTCCTAGACATGCATGCTCACACTACCAAGTTATATACAGAGTTGTAAGGATGACTTATCCAAAATTTCCTACAAGAAAGGTTAGGGAGCATAGACAAAATAATTTTTTTGTTGAAATTTTTTTGAAATTTTTTATTTTTGGTAAAGCTAGAAAAAGTAAATTAGAAAAAAAAAGAAGGATATTAGACAATGTTACGCAACACAATTGTGTCTCCGACAACAGCGCCATTTGATAAGAACATTTTGGCCGAACAAAATACTAATAAAAAATAATAAACAAGTTGCTAAACTAATATAGTATAGCTAACCCGTATCGAATCTCACAAAGACACAATTATAGGAACATACTCATTATCACATATCATTCTCTCTAAAACAAGTAAATAGGGGATAAATGAAAGAGTGAAAAATAAATAAATTGATGTAAAATAATAAAAATTAAAATCAAATTGCGATAAAAGATTGATTGACAAAAATTAAAATTAAACTGAAATAGAATTTAAATAACTAAAATTTATAAAATTAAGATAAAGTGTTTTTAATTAAAAGTACAAGAATGAAGAATTGTTTTGAAATAAAATAGTTCAAGTAATTAAATTTAAAATTTCTAAAAGTGATAACTCAAAAACTAAATTTGAAATAGTTCAAGTAAAAATATAAAAATATAAAAATATGTAAATATATAAATATGTAAATATATAACTATATAAATATATAAATATGTAAATATGCAAATATGTAAATATATAAATATGTAAATATATAAATATAAAAATATAAAAATATATAAATATGTAAATATATAAATATGTAAATATATAAATATGTAAATATATAAATATATAAATATATAAATATATAAATATATAAATATATAAATATATAAATATATATTTATACCAATATACATTTATTTGTATATAAATATAATTTATATGTAAATTATTATTGAAAATCCTAGTAGTTTAGTGGTTGAAGTATCGGTCTCCAATTTTAAGGTATCGAGTTTGAATCTTGTCATTGATAATAATTCAAACTTCTAAGAAATGTAATGAATGATAATAATTCAAACTTCTAAGAAATGTAATGAATAATAAAGATATAATAGAAAAGGGTAGGAGAGCTTATAGACAAACAGAGATTTTGTAAATAAAACATTAAATGATTAACTTTGTTATCGATTTAGTAACCAATTATTTTTTTTAACTTTACCACCGATTTAATAATATTAATTTCGATCATTATTTAGGCATCTAAAACATAAGTTACCAAATTATTTAGTGACCACCTTATCCATCACTAAAACTATTTCTCGTATGTGTTCAAGGGAGTGGATGATGAGTCAAATCTCTAATTGATGATTGGTTATTGTTGGAACTACTTTAGAGCTATTGTATTTTATGGATCTAATTATTTTTTTTATATTTTTAAAGATGGAAGACTTAAACATGTTTAGAATATGTCGTGGTTGCATGTAAGTTTCTCATATGTGGTTTGATATTTATCATTAAAAAAAAAAACCCTTGAAAAGGTTTTAGAAATTTTCTAGATTATGTATCCTATTGTTCTTGATTTAGATACAGCCCATATTTATGCTATATATATATATATATATATATATATATATATATATATATATATATATATATATATATATATATATTATAGAATATCTTTCATCAATTTACACATTTGGTACGTTTGATTTATCTTTCAATAATTATTAATATTATAAACATTATTTATCAATTTTTCATAAAACTGTTACCCACAAAACTTTCACAAGTTAAATTTTAATCTCATTTTCTATACATTAAATTTATTCTATATTATTTATCTAAAAGAAGAGGTTCTCATCTGCTCATATGTGTTTCATCTACTTAGAATAATAGAGGTTAGAGTCTTTTTTCTTATTATTTAGTTTTATGTTTTAAATTTTTTAAATAATTATTTTTTAAGAATAAATTGAAAAAAAAAACTGGATTAGTAACTTCAATTTTAAAATAATTTTAGATAGAAGACAATATTTAGGGATAAAAAGTCTAAACATTGAAAAAAATGACTTGAATAACTTCGTATCGACAAAAACGAGTAATGTAGTACAATTATTATTGAAAATGTACATGAAAAAAAAAACTAAAGTAGAAAATAAATTTTATTTTTTAAGTTTTAAAAACTAAAAAACAAAAATTATTTTTAAAATCAATTTTTAACAAATAAGTTATCCAACAAAATTTTGAAGTTTAAAAAAAAATGAAATTTATTTTTAAAAATCATAAGTAAACCGACCAAAATCTTTAATTTGTTAAAACATAAATATAATATGAATTTGTTCTAAACTAAATATAATATCACATTAAATATTTGATTTAATTTTCAATTTCATAATCATTTACATGTAAAAATACATTTAATTTTTCCCTCTTAATGTTGCTAGACCGCTGACCCTTGTCACTTACAAATGTTATTTCTCAATGCACCCTACTTTCTTTTTGCACTTTAATATTTGTCGTCAATGAAATTATAGTCCTTAATATAAATATGTTCTAGAAAGCTTATTCTGGAAATGAGTTCCGGATGGTATTTTTCAAAACACATCTTTGGTTTATATTTTCTAGAAATATATTAATGAAAACTAATTTTGGAAATTTATTTTATGTATATTATAGGGTGCAGAAGAAAATATTAGACTACAGAAAGAAGCAGCCCTTACAAGTAGTTTTTTTTTTTTAAGTATCTCTCGACCCATTAGAAGAAAAAAAAAAAAAAGATTAGCTCTAAAAGTGTCTTTTCACCTTTGACTAACGAGGGTTGACGGGACTAAACCCTAGACTCACCCTTAGCCACCTCAAACCATTGTTTTTCTCTCGCCCTCTCTCTGTGTTCCACAGGGGGCGCCGTGGGGTTAGAGATTCTAAGGATCAATTTCACTACACGTGGAGTAAAAGTGAATCTGGGAAAAGCCCTTCCACCACTTGTCACGCTATGGGGAACCTTTGCTCTTGTGTTACTGGAAATAACAATAAGGTGGCCTATCACGGCGGAGGTGGCCCACAAATTATCAAGGCTCCAAAGAGTAACAGTGTAAAAGGGGGATCATATACCAGCAACCCGTCCGGAGACTCATCATTTTCTGGATGGGAAACAGAAAGAAGTAGATCTAAAAGTGGGAGCGGAGGTGGCCCACAAAACAGTGTAAAAGTAGATCTAAAAGGGGGATCATGTACCAGCGACTCCTCCCGAGGCTCATCATCTAAAAGTAGGGTGGATCACCCCAGCGGAGGTGGCCCACGACATTCCAAGGGTTTAAAAAGTGTAAAAGAGGAATCACGTACCATCAACTTCTTCGGACTAAACTGCGTCTGCATAGATCCTTCAATAACCACCGACGACTAAGCGGACGTATTCTCAGTGAGGTAAGCACACCCTTAGTGTTTTAAGAACAAATTTTATGCATAAATGAATTAGTACTTATGCCCAATATGTTAGAATTAGCTTATATGACAATGACTTTCTGCTTTGTGTTGCGGTTGGTACTGGCTTTTGAAGTGAAACCAGCCTCTAGTGAAGAATAAGTATAACGAACTTTATTTTTAAATTAAATCTTGGCATATACGAATCGTGCCGGTTCTGATGTAGGTTTATTGTTTTGGCTGCAACTGGTTCAAGAATATACTATGTTCAATGACAAAGAGAATTGCCACGTAGACATGTTGATCTAGGTTTGATATAAAATAATCTTTCCTTTCTTTCTCTGGTCAGGTTTAGGTTGGGCTGTATGATCCAATTTTATTTTATTCTTTTTGACTTGTTCCGACTGCTATTGATCTGAGTATCTGATAAACCCACACAAACAAGAAAAACTCAGGTAAGGGTCGGTGAAATGCCTATCTTAGGCTTACTCTACAAAGTAACATGATAAAGAAGGATTAATAAACTCAACGTATACAGCAAATTCCATTCCATCCAGATACTTCTTTCTATTCTTGATTGTGCAATTATAGTCGTCAATGTTTGTGTCTGGTTTTATGGTGTTGGGCGTTTCTTGATATATAATAAGGTAACACCTAGAGATATAAAATTTTAAGTAATAAAAATAAATAAATTCAAGAAAAATTTTCATTCGACATTAAGATACTGTCTTTTCTAAATGAGGTTCACTTTTAAAAGAAGAAGAGAACAAAGAAAAAAAAAACCACGTAACAATGACTGAGAATGGTTCAGTCCTACAATAAAAGTTAATATGACAAATAAGCTATGGAGAGAATGAATAAAATAAAAGTAGGGGAAAGGTGGTGTTGGGGTGGTAGTAGCACCGCCATAGAGGGAGGAAACCAGTTTAAATAAGTGAATTTGTTATCATTTGAACTAAAGTTCTAGATAATTCTCAAAAGAGAATAACAACATTCAAAGTACTATCATAAACTTCTCATTAATCATCATCTAAATATAAAAAGAGAAACCTTCTATTTATAAGTTTTGGAAGAATGACGACATAAAGAGAATAATAAAGAGAATAATAAAAAGAGATATATGATTTGACCTAAAAGATGAGTAATATAATTTTAGGCCATAAGATGTTCTCCCTCTCTAAATTCATTAAAAAATAAAAATAAAAATCCTTTTAGGATAATGAGGACATGAAAAGTGATGAGAGATTCTTATGGATTGTTCAAAGGCAATCAAATCCTTAAGTCAAGCTTCTACCTTTAAAAAAAAGGTATAGGAGATGAAAAATGAGTGTCTTATACCTTTAGGCAGTCCATGCAATCATTATATATGTCCAAATCTTCTTTTCCACCACTTGCTTCTACCTCTTCAAAAAGAGGTATAGGACATGAAAAATGAGTGTCCACTACTAGAAAATATGCTTTCAACGTCGCTGTTTAACGTCGGTTACATCTTAGCCGACGTTGAATATGCTTTCAACGTCGGTTGGTCAACAACCGACGTCGAAAGTCGAATTTTGACACATTCTACGTCGTTTTAGCATGCCCGACGTGGAAAGTAGGCTTTCAACGTCGGTTATGCCCTCACCCGACGTTGAAAACCCTTCTGCATAGGCTTTCAACGTCGGGTGTGGGTATAACCGACGTCGAAACCCAATATATCACAAAAACTCACACACTTTAGATAGCGGTTATATGGGAACCGCTATCTAAAGTGCACTTTAGATAGCGGTTCTAAAGGAACTGCTATCTAATTTCAAGTTATGATCGATCATTTCAAATTATGATCGATCAGAATCAAATTTCGCTCGAGCGAGCGTAGTGTCGCTCAAGCGAAATACAACCCGAGGATGCTAATTTTGTGCAGGGGGGCGTTTCGCTCGAGCGAGAAGGGTGTCGCTCAAGCGAGATACCCTTTAGATAGCGGTTCTAAAGGAACCGCTATCTAATTTCAAGTTATGATCGATCATTTCAAGTTATGATCGATCAGAATCAAATTTCGCTCGAGCGAGCGTAGTGTCGCTCAAGCGAAATACAACCCGAGGATGCTAATTTTGTGCAGGGGGGCGTTTCGCTCGAGCGAGAAGGGTGTCGCTCAAGCGAGATACCCTTTAGATAGCGGTTCTAAAGGAACCGCTATCTAATTTCAAGTTATGATCGATCATTTCAAGTTATGATCGATCAGAATCAAATTTCGCTCGAGCGAGCGTAGTGTCGCTCAAGCGAAATACAACCCGAGAATGCTAATTTTGTGCAGGGGGCGTTTCGCTCGAGCGAGAAGGGTGTCGCTCAAGCGAGATACATTTTAGATAGCGTTTCAATCGATTAAATCTCGTTTCAATCGATTAAAACAATTTCTGCACGAGCGTTTTAATCGATTAAAACTTATTTTTATCAGTTAAAATTAGTTGAAAAGTTTTACGAGAAAGTTTTGCAAGTATTTCAATCGATTGAATCGCGAAACAATCGATTAAATCAACTTAGAAGATTTTTTGTAAAGTGTTTTAATTGATATAAACGTTGCAAGTATCAGCTTAAAACAAATCATTAAAGAATCAAGAACATATTAATGGATTAAAAGAAGTTTTAACAGATTAAAACTGCACTTTTAACAGATTAAAAGAATCTTTTAACAGATTAATTAAACCAGACAATTTTGAAAATCTTCTATAAAAACAGTTTGGCTTGAACTTTGGGGTTCGATGTCGCAGAGTTGGGGTTCGGCCTCGAGTTTGTCGAGGTAGGCTGGGGTTGAGATTCGAAGTTGCTTGGGTTTTGATTGGGTGTTTTGGTCACTCAGATTTGAGATTCAAGGTCACTGGGTTGGATTTCAAGCTTGAGGTCGAGTGATGCATGCTTGGGTTAAAGATCTTCGAAGCTGAATAGAAGGGTGGAGGATTGGGGTTGGAGAGACGAAGGTGATTAAGCTCGAACAATGGTGGATAGTCACTGGTACAAGGTCACAAAGAGGGAGTGAAATTGTGAGCGAGAAGGTGAATTTGGAAGGGTCTGTCGAGCATGAAGAACACAAAATTTTGGAGGATTATCAGTGCGAAGAAGATGAAAGTACTTGGGTTTATTTGTATATATTTACACGGATATATATTTATTTGTATATAAATATAATTTATTTGTAAGTTATTATCAAAAAATTCAAGTAGTTTAGTGGTTGGAGTATCGACCTCCAACTCTAAAGTACTTGGGTTCGAATCCTGCCAATGACAATTCTCTTAAAAATTAACAAACTTCTAAAAAATATAATATAAAGAGATGGAGGACCTAATAAAAATATAATAGGAAGAGAGGGAGACTTCTAGATAATAAAAGGGGGGTAAAGGGGTTGTAAATAAATAAAAATTATTAATTTAAAAAATCATACTTTCAACGTCGGCTCTAAAAACCGACGTTGAAAGTCGACATTAGATAGCGGTTCCCTTATAACCGCTATCTAAAGTCGATATTAGATAGCGGTTATAAGGGAACCGTTATCTAAAGTCGACTTTAGATAGCGGTTATAAGGGAACCGCTATCTAAAGTGTATTTTTCAACGTCGGTTTTTTGGAACCGACGTTGAAAGTTACGACTTTCAACGTCGCCTGATACAACGTCGGTTATTAAACCGACTTTGAAAGCCTTCCAGAACCGACGTTGAAAGCGTTATTTGTAGTAGTGGTCTTACGCATTTGGATAGTCTATGCAACCATCATATATGTTCAAACCTTCTTTTCCACAAAAAAGAGGTGGTGATATTACAAAAAAATGTGCATAAGGTGGGCATACAAAAAAAAAATACAAAAACGAGTATCTAATATTTAAAAAATAAAAATACTAAGAAAATTTTCTAAATGGAAAGTGAAAAGGAAATCCCCCTTTTATTCATGTTTCTCGTGATCATTCTAAGGATGATCTCTCTCTATTCCAGGATAAATAGGGACTTATCATTACTCTTTATCATTAAGCTACTCATGCAAATTAGGCCATATATATATATATATATATATATATATATATATATATATATATATATATATATATATAATTTTCTTTTTTTCTACCACACCTTCATACTGTCATGCCACCTGTAACTCTTATACCTTCATTTAAAGTTTATTTTTGCTTTAAATTTAGAAATTTGTTTATGTTTTGAACCATATAACATGTTGTGGTATTTCAAATTATTAAATCTAAAATATATTTTTAGAAAACACAATTCAAAATGGTTATGGTCAGCTAATCTATAATGTATTTTTGTATTTTCTATAAATGTATTTTGAATTGTTGAATCTGAAATACATTTTTCAAAAATACAATTCAAAAGTTCATTTAGAAAAACATAATCCAAAACTGTGTTTTTTGAAAATATATTATAGAATTTTTTTTGGAAATATTCCGAAATCAGTTTTTTGGAATATATTTTTAAAAATTACAATTAAAAATACATTCCTAAAAACAGAATCTATAACTTATTTTCAAAATAAGCTTTCCAAAACATATTTACATCAAGAATAATATTGTCATTTTAGATAAATATAGGATAAAGAAAGAAATACATGTAATTTTAATCATCAAATAGTTGGACCATGTTTTACAGTATTTGGACATACTCTTTATCATTAGGCTACTCATGTACTCAAATTCATAATCAAAATCTTCTCCCTGTCTTCTTGGACCATACCTTTCCTTTTTCCTTAAATAAATACATTCTTTATAATTTATGGTAGTCATGATAATCTAATCTTTATTATTATATTTATGATATTATAAAAATATTATTTTATTAAATCCGATAGAATATTTTTAAACTTAACTAACTTAAATCTTCCATCTACATAAAACTCTTAATATTTGAAGGTCCCATTTTGAACTTTCATATTCCAAAGTTATTGATAGAGGTTATTCTTTTCTTTTTCGGACAAAGTGTGACATGATAATGACAAACATATTCTC